ACCATGCACTAATTGTTTAAATAGTTTCCGCCCCTCGATTAGAGGAGTTAATCAGAGGAAAAATTTAAGAAACTTGCTAATTATTAAAGCCAGCCCATGATATATATATATATATATATATATATATATATATATATATATATATATATATATATCGGGAAATATGCTCTTAGGTGTGCTATATTTATGGGATAAAGTGCTCAATAACAGAGATAGAGCGCGTGTAAATATAAAAGTGAACACTGAAGTCAACACTTAGAGGTGACAGGCTGTTTCATGCTAGATGAAATCGTCAGGCCACGAGTGTTGTTGTTTTCTCGGCTATTTATATATACGGGTCAGTGGTGTATTGTGGGTAGTTTATTTATTTTGTCAGAAGTCGTTTATTTGTTTGTTTATTTATTTATATATTTGGGTTAAATTATTCTGCTCCTTTTTATTTTTTTTTTATTTTTATTTCTTATCATATATATTGATTTATTTATTTTTATTTTAATCGGTGTATTATTAACGTAGTAAAATTTGTTTATATCGCTTATTTAAAAGTTTTGTTTTGGTTTGGGAAGATAATTAAAGCTATTTATTCAATTTTGGGATTAATTGCTGTAGTTTATTCTAACTATTATTTTGGCGGGAGCAGTTCTTAATTTGTTTATTACTTCATTTATTTATTTGAATTGATTATCATTACTTGTTTTTTTCTAACGGTTAATTTGTCGGGATCGGTTTGTTAGTTTGTTTATTTATTTGGATTAATTTATTTTACTTGGTCTACCACAGAAAGTAATGGCAACCTACTCCGGGAAAAATCTGCCTCGTCCATCATGTATCGAAAGATACATGATCGTCTAACGTGTATCACATAAGCATGGTACATAAACTGACTGACTTTCCAGTCGAATCCATTACAGTCACTTATGTACTAATACCCTTGGGAAAGATATGAATCATGTTTTTCTCCCTCCTAGGTATGGGTAAATAGCAGGACAGACCGGCTTCTATAGCCTTTGGTGGCAACCTACTCCGGGAAAAAAAAACTGCCTCGTCAGTCATGTATTGAAAGATACATGATCGCCTAATCGTGTATCACGCATGGCATATAACTGACTGAGTTTACATCCTTTTTCCCTCAGACAAAACCTCACAAGCCTCTAGTAGCTCTATTGCTATCTCCATTGAAAATAAAGTTTCACGACAAATCTGGGATATCCTTCTTCTTTGGCAAGACATTGAAATGCGATGAGTCTCTCTGTTCTTCCTTAATTAGCTCGAGGCCAGTCAAAAGTCATTCTGCCCATGGAGAAACGGATCTGTAACCCGTTCAGATGGGTTACATTCCTTAGTTCCACCAGTTCAGATCTTTATAGTTAAGACCTGCAATGCCACGCCCATTGTAGCGAACCTCCCTCATTCCCTTTGTATACCACTAGTGAGATGTGAGTTCTATTTGAGCAGCTTCTTCCCATGAACCTCTGTTTTGTGAAACCGACTTTCAAGAGGATGCTTCATGGATCACTAAAATCTTAACCTGTTCAAGCCTAGAGGTTAAAAAACTAGGGTTTAATTTCGAGAAGGAGCTTGTAACATGCAATACCATTCAACTTACGGCAGATGGCAAAATGATCAATACCCTGTAATGCTCCAGTAAGTACCTGGCCTCTTATACTATCCTATACAATTACAAGAGTCAGACCAGACCGAAAATAGAATACTGTTGCATATATGGACAGGATTTTTTTTCAGCCTTTCACCCCAAGAAAAGCAGAAGTGCCACTAGCACACAGGGTATTACAGAGAGTGAAAATGAGAGAAAAGACTGAGCATAGTGGGGACTGAGAAAAGGATAAGAGATGAAAGAAGATGGCTGTTGATGTTGTATTTAAATTTTATATTATATTTATGAGGGAAGCAAGTAAGCGGGAGGGAGTTCCACAGGTGGGAAGTGCGAGAAAAGAAACTGTTGGAGTAGAAGTGGTGGTAAAATTTAACTATTTCAACAGTAAGGACCTCCAATCGGTTGTGAACTGGGGCAGTAATTGGCTGGTTAATTTTAACGCCTCCAAAACAAAACTGCTCTCTGTTAATCACCACAGAGATCCTTCTCTGCCCCCCCGCATTAGAATGTCTGACGCTCCAACTTCCCAAGAGCACTTCTCTGCGGCTGCTCGTTCTCACCTTGTCTACTGACCTGAGATGGAACAAATACATTGAGTCAATTGCTTCGTCCACCGCAAGGAAAGTTGTCTCCCTGTGCCGCGCCAGGAAATTTTTCTCCCCGGAATCGATCCTTAAAATCTACAAATCAACCATTCGCCCTTGCATGGGGTATTGCTGCCATACATGGTCTGGAACCCCTACTGTTTGCCTCGGGGTTCTTGATAACATCCAGAGACGGATATGCAATATAATTGTATGAAAGGATATGAGGGACAGAAAACATTATTAAGGAGAGAGTGTTGGAATTTTGGGGTACCCTGGTATATTAGTGAGCCAGCCAAAATGAGCTGACTCATTTTATAGTTCACCAATAGAAAGGTTAACCAATCAGAATATTCAAAATATTCAATGCAATGTGTATAAAGGCGGCCATGTTTTTTCCCGAATATTCACTGCCAGTCTTTGATACCGAAGGCTTAAGAATTACAGAACAGCTGTTGGTGGTATTGGCGATAGAGTCAGATTCAGTACAGTGTCTGACTCGTGAGTGTTAATCTTTAACGTTATTTCATTGAACAGGTTACGTACTGCGCTGTATTCTATATTCATAGACTATGGGGAACATGGTCAACAGAGAGATCAATAAAAAATCAGGAATTACAACTGCCTATCTTTTGCCACTCTAAGCAACGTTTGTCTATTTTTATTATCTGTCTTATTCCCTTTCATGTCATCCATTTACAGTACAATATCTTCTACAAACGATCCATCGCTGCAGCAAACAATGATCGATTCCTTGTACCGTTCTAGTAAGTACCTGACTCATCCTACCATCCTTTACCTTTACAAGAGACAGATCAGGTGCAAAATGGAGCATTGCTGCCATATCTGGGCTGAAGCTGTACAGTCTTCACTTCCCAGTGTTGACAGAGATCAAAATCGTATTTGTTGGTGATGGGATTGTTTTCCATCCTGCAACCATTTCCCAAGAGACGAAACATCGCAAGCCTCTCATTGTTCTATCGATATTTCCAGTGATCAGATGAACTACATTCATCAATTCCCAAAATCTTCACTGTCCTGGGCATTACGATAACCTACATCCAAAGCAAGGCGTCTCATCGTCAAAGTCAACCCTTACCTCACAGTCGGTGTCAGGCTATGCCGCCCGGAACTTCGTTCCTGGTAGGGCCACCAAAGGCGGACAGGTCTGACACACACGCTCAACTAACAAGGGCTCTGGTGAAAATCAAGGAGCGTCTGCATCGGTAACCGGCGGCTTCTGGTCGTTCCTGTCTCTGCGTCCGGGAACCCGCGGCAAGCAAAGAACGTTATCCGAGTAGGCCTGGGTACCCTGCTTCTGTAATTTATCCCAAGAATCTTCTTCTCATAACAGGAAGAAGCCGGCTCAATCCGCCCAGGGTGAATGCCGCATCAGTACAGTACAGTAAGGCGTCTCATCAGGCGGATTTGATGAGAGTGGAACGACATCTTAATTGCTTTTGCTCCAAGGTTCACCCAGGGTCCCAGCACCTGTTAGAGTCCCCGCTATGAGCAAATAGCTAACCACCCTACTAGGTTCCAAACACCTTGAGTGTGCAGAAATACATTTTTATATTAAAGTTGCTAGCAATGCATTCTCAGAGTAAAAATATTACCAGCAATACATTTTTGTAAAAGAAATTAATAATGCGCCCAAGGAAATTAAATTTCGGCATTTAATGACCCATAATGTAAAAAAAAAAAAAATAACAAACAAAAACAAAACCTAACTTAACGTTTCCCAGCTAAGATAAGCCATGTCACACCGATTATACTAAACCATCCTCATTCCCTTCATATTCACCTGATGAGGTGTAAGTTCCACTCGAACAGATTTTCACGAACCGCTGTCTTGTGGAACTGACTCCCATGAGGATGCTTCCCCGATTAATAACCTGTTCAATTCTATTTTAACTTCCACACGTAACCGCATAAGATGTCAGTTAACCTGTAACACTCGAGTGGACCTTGGCCTTGTTAAAGGCGAACATCATTATAAAAGAAAATTTCCAGTAATCAGAATGATCTTTGTGAAATTTCGTAAATATGGCGCTGAATGTTGAGTTAAACTGAAAGTCATAATCACGGCCGGTAAATACGATATTTTATTTTTCTCACTGTCAATTTTATAAGGAAAAACGTTTGTCTACGCAGTCGAACCCGCAAAAAAAATAAATAAAATAATAATACTTGCAATACATTCTCTTGTAGGTAAGCATTTCGCATTCTCGTGTCGAACGACGAACCGGAACTTGATACACAAGTTGGGAGCGCCCGGTAGGCCCGACATATTTCCGCCCCGAGTAACGATTTCTGCTATGGAATTGCATTTCTCTTGTAGGTTGAAATAGCGAGGCAGATAATGAACAAAACAAGTTATTTACTCTCTTTGAACTCTGAGACTGCCTCTCTAGAATTATGCGTGTCTTACAGTTGAATAGAAGTTCACAAAAGAATTGCTGAACGAAAAAAGAAAAAAACAAACATATATATATATATATATATATATATATATATATATAAGTGTGTGTGTGTGTGTGTAAGAAGATTAATCTGGTTTCGAAGGATATGAACGCAGCGAGAAGAAGAAGAAGAAGTAAAAAAAAAGCCCATACACACAAAAGATAATTTGGTTCATCTTCTGACATGTTTCTGTGTCTTGCGTCATAGGAACTGACTTAAGAATGACTAGTTGCAAGATTATACTTAACTCTACGATGAGTGTACAGTCGAAATAATTGTTGAAAAATGTCTAATTCCATAACAGCGGAAGAATTGCGATTATTTTGATGATCGGAACA